AAATTTTTAAATAGATAATAGGTTATTGTTCACTATAGGCAAAATATGATACAGTAGATCTGTAGCACTTACTCATCTCACATAAAGAAACTTTATGCCTCTTTATTAGTACGTCCCCATTTCCACTCTACCCAGCCTCTTAGAATCACTATGCTATTTTCTCTTTCTGTGAATTTGACTGCTCTAGCTACCTCAAATAAGTGGAATCATATATTACAGTACAGTTATGTCTGACTTCTTCTTTTTTTTTTTTTTTGAAGCAACAGGGTTTTCTATTGCCCAGACTGGAGTGCACTGGTGGGATCACAGCTCACTGCAGCCTCAAACTCCTAGGCACAAGCAATCATCCTGCTTCAGCCTCTCAAGTAGCTGGGACTACAAGAGCATGCCACTACGCCAGCCAATTATTCTTATTTTTTTTTTTTTTGTCCATACAGAGTCTCACTATGTCGCCCTGGCTAGTCTCAAACTCGTGGCCTCAAGCAATCCTCCCACTTCAGCCTCCCAAAGTGCTGGGATTACAAGCGTGAGCCACTGTGCCCAGACTGCTTTTTATTTTCTATGTCTTTTGTTGTTTTTATTCTCCCATTCCTCTATTATTACTTTCTTTTCTATGAAATAGATATTTTCTAGGGTACTTTTTAAATTCCCTTGTTTCTTATGCAATACATTTTTAGGTATTTAATTAATGTTTTCCCTAGGGATTACAATTAACATCTTAAATTGTAACAATTTAAATCAGATAAATACCAATTTAATTACAATGCTACACAAAACTGTACTCCTATATACTCCCATTTTTCCCCCCAACCATGATAATTGGAACATTTAACAAAATAACAGATGAAGATGCTCGAAAATCACAAATTTAGACAAGGTATCCAGAATCATGACTCCTTCCTCAACACTAATTTCAGGGCTGGGTACAGTGGCTCACGCCGATAACCCCTGTACTTTGGGAAGCCAAAACAGGACTGCTTGAGCCCAAGAGTTCCAGAGCAGCCTGAGCAATAGCAAGACCCCATCTCTACAAAAACTACAACCGAGCATGGTGGTGCACGTCTGTAGTCTCAGCTACTTGGGAGGCTGAGGCAGGAAGATCCCTTGAGCTCAGGAGTTGGAGGCTGCAGTGAGCTATGATGAAGCTACTGCACTCTAGCCCAGGCAAGGGAGACACTGTCTCAAAAAAAAAAAAAAAAAAAAAAAGAAGAAGAAGAAAAAGAAGAAAAAAGTAGCCGGGCACGGTGGCGCATGCCTACAGGCCCAGCTACTCAGGAGGCTGAGGCAGGAGGATTGCCTGAGCTCAGAAGCTTGAGGTTGCAGTGAGCTATGATGAAGTGACTGCCCTCTGGCCCAGGTAACAGAGTGAGCCCATGCCTGAAAAAAGTAATTTCAGATATTAATGATGAAAAAAGAGACCCAAGGTCAAATCCCATTAAAGAAGGTATAATCTTGTATAAATTAGACAATAGCCAAAAATGAATAACACAATTTAAATATACATTAAATAAACACCTCAAACCAGAGAAACCTATAACATACTATTTAAAAATATGCTACAAGACAATACTTTGAGATATGATAGAATATAAATTAGAATTAGAAAAACTCAAAAATGAAGTTTTAGCCCTCAAGACTAAAATAGAAAAAAAAGAAATAATTTCAGAATAACAAACTAGAAAGGAAGAGAATAAACCCAACTCATTTCAATTAAGTCAAGAAGATATGGAAAAAAAAAGGAAAGAACTCTATCAGAAGAATAACTCATTAATTTCTATTTGTTTAATATGGATTTCTGCTTATGTCTCAACATTAATTAAAAGGTTTATCTTTTGAAACAAATTAATGATAAAAAACTCGACATCATCACATAATGCTACTAATTACATTTGAGAAACAATCCTAATTCTTCATATTAAAATACAAAATCTTACAGGACCTGATCCTTCCTAACATACTGATTTCATATCCTGTTAGTGCCCCTCACTAAGTATGCTCTCATCTACCAGGTGCTCCTAAGACATACAAACCTTATGCCCCCTTTAGGGTTTTTGCATGCGGTGTTCCCTCTTCCTGAAATACTCTTCCTCATATACTGAAATAAACTGAGTCCATACTTTATGTCTCTGCACAAACGTCACTGCCGCAGAACAGTGTTTGTGAACACTTTACAGAACATAAAAGTGCCCTGTTCTTGTTCACTGTCCTTCACGGTATATTTCATTGCCTGATATTATTTATTTATTCGTTTCCACATGTACTTTATATCTTCCTTAATAGACTCTAATCTCCATCATTACAGGAATATTATCTGTCCTGTTCAGCATTACCAGACTGCTTGTGCCAAGCACAGTGCCAGGCTCGGAGTATTCGAGTATTTGACATATATAAGGAGGAATGTCTTTCTTAGAGAATAGAGCTATATATATCAATCTGTGTGTAAAAGAGGATCTGAAAAGCATTTGGATCCAGTATCTAGAAAAAATGGCTGCACCGCAGAAAGAGAAGGCCTGTCACTAAATTGGGAAGGAAATATGAGAAAAATAACACGGTGAGCAGATATTGAAATAAATATGAACTTTAATGACTATCTCACGTTGAGATATTCATTTCTGCTCCATATCATAGCCTCTTGTCCACTGAGAAGAGATTTGTTTACCAAATGAGTGGACCAATTCCACTTGGGCTATTACTTACACAAATGCCTTTCCCTGCCTCATTTGCTCTTACCTGTATACTCTCTTCTTGTTTCTTCCCTCACAACCATCCAGGGCTCTTTTCCTTGTTCCAATAAGGTAATTATATCTGGCTTAGACAAGGAATGTCCTGCTTACAAAGAAAAGAAGTGCCACAAAATATGGAAATAAACATTGAAAGTCAAAAATTACAGTTATACTTGCAATAAACAGTCAAAGTGACAGTAAGATTTTAAAGAGTAAGAGAAATAAAGAAAAAGAGATCAAAAAAGACAGTCAATGTTTTTTGTTTTGCTCTTCTTTTTAAAAAAATTTAAATTCCTATGTCCTCTAGTTCTAGACAGGCAAGCATAATGTGAAAAACACATTACAGAGTTTGGGATCAATTCCTGACTTTGCCACCTTCCAGCTGTATGTGACATTGGGCAAGTCACTTAAACTTACTATTCTTCAGTATTCTCACTTGTGAAACTGGAAAATAATAGGGCTGTTGGGAGGATTAAATTAGTTGATACATAAGTAAAGTGCTTAGAAAAATGTATGGTACCTAGTAAACACAATGGTAACTATTAACCTTGTTATACATTGTAATTATTTTACTAAGAGTATACAAGAAGAGATATCTATAGTATATTCATCCCACTTTATATATCATTTTCATGGATTACAAGTTTCAACCATAACTCAAATGAACTCTGGCCAGGCGTGGTAGCTCACAACTATAATCTCAACACTTTGGGAGGCTGAGGCAGGAGGATTAATCTCTTGAGGTCAGGAGTTCGAGACCAGCCTGAGCAACATAGTGAGACCCGTCTCTACAAAAAAATTTAAAAATCAGCCAGGCATGGTGGCACACACCTGTAGTCCAAGCTATTCCAGAGGCTGAAGCAGGAGGATCACATGAGCCCAGGAATTTGAGGTTACAATGAACTATGATCACAGCACTGCACTCCAGCCTGGGTGACAGAAAAAGATTCTGTCTAGGAAAAAAAAAACATATATATCTATATATATTTTGAGACCTATCTACCTGTCCATATATCTCAAAGGAACTCTATCTTAGGAATGGACTGCTTTGTCCTCAGTTTTAAGTGAACCCCATTTATCCAATCCACCACTATATGAAGAGGATCTCCTTTGATAATGACAACAGTTCAGGACCCTCTGTAGACCGAATATCCTTACAAGCAGATCAGATAATAAAATGGAGCACTACAGCTATTCTGAGCACAAATAAATAAGAAACCTCAATCCCCTGACAATGGTTCTACAATGAACACCAGAAAATTCTAATCTAAAGCACTGGTCATCAAGGAAAAAAGACAAATAAAAGAAGTATCAGAGGGACATATGAATGTCACTGAAAGATAGAGAAGATGAAAGTGTTTAATAGAGTTGCCATTTCCAACCAAACAAAGCTCTAACCATTTCCACAGCAACAGAGGAAAGAAATTTACCTAGTTTTTTGAAAGGCAGCCCTGAAAATTACAATGGAGAAAGCATGTATCCTACAGAGCAGATTCTAAATTATTCCAAATTATTTGAGGTTGATAAACGTACCCAGTGAGACCAAGTTACCATAGTTTTCCATCATCACCTCCCGGTACAGGGTTCTCTGGACCAGGTTGAGATATTCCCACTCCTGACGAGAGAAGTCTATGGCCACGTCCCTGAATGTTATGGATACCTGAAACAGCAAACCCATGTATTACTGGGAAAATTAAAGAAAAGATTTAGAAAATGGAGTAGAGGAGATAAAGGACGGCATTGCAGCAAAAGAACAACATGATCAGCACACAGACTAGAAATCTATGCTATTGGGGGAGATGGAGGAAGCAGAATGTATACATATATTTGAAGAAACTTGTGACACAGACAAAACTTTCTGCATGCTCTGAGATACCTCTTAAATATTTAACCCTTTTGAGATTCACAAAATAATAATGTTTTCCTATTAAATTAAATCATTACTATATGCATAATGCCCAAAAGGTATCTACCTCATAAATTCTTAAGCAATGTGAGTTAATTGAGGAGTATTTTCACTTGGAAGGGAATTTAAAAATTTAATCACGAGAAATTTTATTCAACATACAGGATAGATTCTCAATTTTAGAAAATGAAGTTTCCATAAAATTAATCATTTCTTCATGCAGCAAGCACTTCATTATGTCAAATCTTACCATGAGCATTTTTGTTTCTTTTAATAAAACAAAAGGATTTTTTTGTAGGACATCATTATTTTATGGTATTTGCTTCTCAGGGCTTTCCATCAAAATCCACGACCTCTAGATTTATTACTACAAGCCCCACTCAAATACTAATTCACACACATATGCAATATTTCCCTACACAAAGTTTAACCAACCTCCTCCAATGCCAAATTCCACCATATCATGTTTCTCATGGATGGTCAAATGGAACCATTGCCTCAGTCTCACCAAATGACAAAACTGACCTGGAATACATCTCTCTTCACTTCTAAAAACTTGACTCTTTTACTCTCTATAACTGCCCATGTTATTGAAAAATTTGGTAAATAATAACACGAACAGTAGTTAATTTACAGTGGGCCACACAGGGAAGATGCTGGGTGATGTGGCATTTACAGGAAGAACAAGAGCTGTAATACGTTAACTGAGGACCCTCTCATGGTAGGTAACCTCAGGAAAACTAATGAAAAGGCATACATGACCTAAAAATCACACACAAATATCAAACAAGAAGAGAAACTTACACAAGCCATGGTCTTATACCGGCCAGATCTGTTCAGTCCTCAGGGATTCTCTACCAGAAAAGCACAGAATCTGGAGAGCCTAAACCTAAAAAAAAAAGAAAGATCTTGAGAGCAGCTATGCTTCAGTGTATCCCATGGGGATCAAGATAATATTACTGTTTTGCTTTGCCATTCCAGGTTCCAAACCACCTCCCTATCACACACAATGTGGGAAGATTAGGATTCTGGATAAACCCATTTCCTCCCCAAATTCCCATAGGTCTCAACTACACAGTCACAAAGCAGAAGCAATCAGCACTGAAGCCAAATCCAGATACTTCAGCAGGCAATTTTCTGGCCAGTGTACTATTTTGGGGAGGCAGATGTGGATATAAGATTGGGCAGCTCTGTCGTCCTCTGAGCAGATCTACCTCTTTCCGTTCCCACCTTCAAAACTGAAAAGAGGACATGATTCACATCAGAATCTCTCTTTGATCTTGAAGTTGGGTAAAGTTGGTCAAGATGTTGGAGATAGACAGAGAATGTTTAGCATTCTGAGTCTAGCAAAGCTTACTAAGTAAATACATGACAGATTATCTCTGTCCTAAAATACAAACATGTCATTAAATGTGGAATTGAGAAAAAATACTCAAGGACATGGAAAATATTCCAAAATAATGTCAACAGAAAAATCAGATTAACTAATACATTTATTTTTGTAACATATAAACACATATTAATCGATACAGAAAGGATAAGAAACAGATAATCATAAAACAGGAGACAGAAAAAGTCTGAAAATTAAATGTCCACATGTTAACAGTACTTACACTTTTGGTTTGATTTGGGTTCTGTTTATCATAAATAAATTGTGTATTCAGTTCTCTTTGGCCAGTACATGAAACAACTAAATAAGGCTAAAGGAGAAATAAAACAAACCTTTGCTTAGAAACTTCTCCATAACCAGAATTTGATAATCAGCCTTCCCTATAATTTCGTTTGGATCTTGATTTTTGATTAGTTTCCTTCATAATTTTTGTAACCGTGGACATATAATGTTAACTTGAAACGTGTGTTTCAGAATTTGTTAAAGTGGGGATTTCAAAAAAATTCTTTGTTTTCTAAATTTAAAATTTTACTGAATGGCTTATCTTCTGTGGTTTCCTTTGGATCTCAATACTTCAACTCACTCTATTACTTCTCCTCAGGTATTTTGGAATTTTGTCTCCAAAAATATGGAAAACTGTCCCGAAGTGATCTCCTCTGCGAATTGATGATGGTCTCAATACAGCTTTAATTCAAATATTCTGGACAGAAGGGTTTACTTTGTTGCCAAACCTAGCAGGTTATCCTCCAGACAGTCTCTGAATTATCTATCTCATGAAATAATTTAATTCTGCTTTCCATCTAATATCATTAGAATGAAAACTACAAAGTATAAAAGATATAGTATGAATCCTGTTTGTCACCATAGAGATCCCACAGAATCAGTATAATTTGTTCATATCCTGAGTGTTGCTGTAGTCAGACTGATGTCTCTAGTTCAGCAAACTCACAAGGTAGGTCACGTAAATCTCTCCAAATATGCTCTATCACACACTGCCTTAAACTTATTTCAATTCAGATATAACCCTCCTTGATAGATTATAAGCATTTTAAAGGAAGCAACTCTACTTTTCAGTGATTATCCCATCCCAAATACTACAATTTTCAGGTACGGCATACTAGAGGCACTTTATAAAAGTCTGATTTTTAATCACAAAATTCACTTCTAGCAATTTTTAAAAAGAAAATAATTATAGGAGTATACAACAAATATGCACAAGTATATTCATTAAAGAATAATTTTTCATTTTCAAAAATGAAAAACACAAATATCTCATATTAGGCAACAAGGTAAACATATTCTCTGCTATATGGCTTCAAGGAGGAAATCCTATTTCTGGAATTGCCAAAGTTTCTCTACCTGACCAAACTTTAGTCGGACTCCTGAACTTCCTCTTAGGCTCACATGTACACTTCATTGTAAATCCAGTTTTAGCAAAGCCTACTAAGTCAGTCGGTTTAGCAAGAACCCTCCATCCCTGTATCTACTTAGGTTCCTCCGCCTCCACCATCCCCCAGGTGATGACTGATCACCTCCTCCTCTTTTCAGCAAGAATCCTGTTAGGTCAATTTAGCCAGAATCCTCCTTACACCTGATGTTTCCCCTTATTAATAGTAATTTTCCATCCAGGGATCCTCATCCTGTTCCTTGACTATAAATTCGCACTTGCCCATGCTGTATTGAGAGCTGAGCCCAATCTCTCTTACCCACTGCAAAATCCCACTGCAGTGGTCTCTTTACTTATCACAATACTCCTGAAGGAAGGCTTCCTTAGCATGCTTTAACAAGTATCACTGCATAATTTTTAACAGAATCTATCATGTTTGTGTAAGGGCAATTACTGCTCTAAATTTCCCATCCTGTTTCTTCTCACTGGAAACTGCATCTAAGGCGCAATATCTGACTTCCAAACAGACTACGAGCGTACTTCTCTGCAGCAGTCATATTTGGCTGATAGGAGCGCAAGGAGGCAGCAGCGAACCTGGAGCCACCGCTCACAGGGACGCTCACTACAAAGCCAAGGCAAAGCACGATCATCTACAACGACTCACACTCAAGGTCTCCGTAACGTAAGGACGACTACCCACCTCATAGTCCCAACTGCACCCACTGACACGGAAGCACGCTCCGGCCCCGTCACACACTGCAGGGTCTCTCACCCTCCCGGCCCGTCCACCAGAGCTGAGACCACCCCATCGGAAGCTCAGGCACCCAGGCACCTGAGGCGGCGGGCAGACAGGTCCGCTTTGAGAGCCTCCCGCAACTTCTCTCTTACCGCCACGCAGAGTCCCGAACGCGCTGCAGTCTAGGTCTGCAGAGTCTTCCCCGCTGCGACCCACGACTTCTTCCTTAGGTGGGAGGGAGGCAAACGTAGCGCGCAACTAGAGATACCGGAAACGGAGCCAGAGGTCCAGGTTTTCTCCGTAATCCAACCCACAATAGTTAGAACTGCAGACTCAGGTAAGAAATGAACTCCAGAGTCGCGAAAACGTAGAAGTAACGGGGCGGGTGACCACGAGGACAATCTGCCCGGTCCGCGGCCCGAGACCGGAGACTTCTGGGAGTTGTGGTAAATCCTAGGAGTGCGCAAGCGCAGATCGCCCGAATGCTGGCACCTCTAACCTGAGGCCGAGGGCGTTCGCCGAACGCGTTAACACCGCGTTCCTGATCAGGTCCTGGAGGAAAGGAGTCCCAGTGGCGCCGGAGCCAGGTAATCTGAGAAGGGAACTCCGAGGCTTTTTTATTCCGCGGCTTCAGTCCTCTGAGGCTCGCCCTCGCGGCCACACCGCTGACCCTACCGAGCCAGCTCTGCAAGCACAAGACTGAGGCTTTGGTCAGCCGGAGTTCCACAGTCCCCTTCTCAGCTTTCTGGGTCCACTTGTCCCTTCTGGACTCCGAGGACACGTCGAACACGCCTTTGTCCCAACTATCTCTGCCAGCGCATCATGTCCTTGCGTTTGCAGACTCCTACTAGAAGGAAAACTAAAACCTCCGCGAGCCGGCATTGGGCAGTTCCTGGGGCGGGTTTGCGTCCTAACTAGGATTTTGGGATCGGGGCCACTTTTCCCATAAGACACCGCGGTCACAGATATTCAGACTTGAACTACATTACCCAGAAGGCAACGGGAACATTCGCTCTATGGCTTGCCTTCCGATTTCGCGCGGTTCTTGTGCTTTGCGAGGTGAGTTTGAGCTTATCTCGGGATGTAATAGGTACAGGGTCCTCGCGGGCAGGGCCCTGGGCGATGAGGGTCGAATTGGAGCTCGACCTGAACCGGCCGGTGTGGCGGAGGAAGCCCTTGAAGCGTGGAAACCCGTAGCATGGACGGGCCAGTTGTTACTGAAATCTCAGGCCTGTGGGTGCATGAACAGCAGAGGAAGGTGTTTGTGTGTGTATGTGAGAGAATGTTTCATCTGTCAGATGGGGAACGTGTGCTAGTGTGTGTGTGTGTGTGAGAGAGAGAGAAAGAGAGAGAAACGGTGCGTGTTAGAGGGCTGGGATGTGCCTCCTTGGTCGTGGGTGCGGTTGTGAGGCTGTGACGGGTAAGTTTCTGTGCTCGCGTGACGGGGATATGAGGTGAATGCCCTGTATGTGTTCGTCTGTTGCTGTGGATGTCAGTGTCACTGTGACTCTTGGCTGTAGTAGGGTCCTTGGTGCTTCCTCCACCTTCTCCCCTTACGGCTACTTGCGGCTGACACAAAGAAAATGTCTGCAAGAGGGAAGTCAGATAATGAACCTTAAATAAAGTTTTCCAGCAAGAAGGCGCTGACTTGCTATGAGATTGGGAACGCCTGGGAGGTTCTTTTATTGTGAGCTCTGAGGGTCAACCATTTGTCTCAGAACCTCCGCTTTGCCAGAGTTCTGACACCAGGAACCTGCTGGGAACGCATACCCAGGTTCTAGCCTCTCTGCTACCTCCATCTGTTTAAGTGTGTGAGCAGGGCAGGTGTGGAGGGTATGGTGTAATGAGTCATTCTGTGCTACAAGAAAACTCATGACTCCCTACTTCCCCAAAGTCCTGCCATTCCCCAAAAGAAGGACCCCGATGAAGAGGAAAGAATTGTTTCACATCTAAAAATCAAGGTTTAGGCTAGTGGGGTTTTTTCTTTCATAAAATTATTGGTTTCAGGGCATGCTTTCCTTCGTCTGAAATGTGTCCAAATGTCCTAATCATAATCTACTTTCTTTCCAGTGGATGTTGGATGTCATTGAGGTGAATCTCATTAACATTTTCATATTCATTTGGCATATCATTCGAATCTTTCTGTGTGTTCTCTTATTCTAAACAAAGCCCAAAAAGATTTAGAGTCTTTGGTTTAAAATCAGAGACAACAGTTTTCCTCTTTATGATTATGTGCAAAATTAGTGTGCGGGATTATGGAAATGATTAAGTAAATGATTAACTCATATGGTTGACTATTAGGC